TCTCTCTCTCTCTCTTTCTCTCTTTCTTCTCCGACCTCCTCGCGATTTTCCTCCTCTTTCTAGCTTGTTGTCCAGACTCCTACAGAATGTATATGTCGTAACCATGTTACATCGGCACCTGCGGGCCTGTCACCTTTCTTCTACTCGGCTACACCGGGCAATTGCTTTTCTGCAACCGTCCCTGGACAAAAATCCCACCGATTCTCCAGTACCGTGCCGAGCGCTTCAACGAAAATGCGCTCCACGAAACCGCGCGCCAAGGATTTTCTTCGGCTTCCCGCCGCGTGCCTTTGGAATTTCCAACCAACTCGGTGCGAGCGAGAGAAATTGTCGCAGGTAAAGCCAGCATAATCGAAAGAGCGTGAGATCGGACGCTCGAAGACAAATTTAATTTTCATAACGAAGTGTAACGCTTGTCAGTTTCGTTAATTAAACGAATGACTCGTTATGTAATCTCAGTTCACAGACAAGTTCCAAGACGACGGTCGCGGCGATTGCAGCAACGCCGGTAGGGTCTCTTTCGATTTCGTAGAATCGCAACACGAGAAGAATGTAGTCTTGTCATCGACTTACTGACGAACGGTACTTTCGAGTGACTCCAGTTCTTTTCTTTTTTCGCGCTTTTTCCCTGCCAGTGTCGACGCACATGTCCATCCAATGAACGTTAATTATTCGGACAAACAGCGTGATGTGTTCCTTTTATCGTCAAGTCGTATACAGAAAATGTGGATATCGCTAAACAGTTGTGTTACAGTTTGTCTACTCCATGTCGTGGCTTTCTTATGGCGGTGTCTCCACATGCAAAGTACATTAACTCTCTGGAAGGGGGAGAGGAGGGACGTACATAGCGTGTGTCTTACTTTGCTATCCAAAATGCCAGAGAGATATATAGTGACCGTTCCGTGCAGGGGACATAAATTTTAACCAATTTTTGTCCAATACCAGTTCTAAACAGTCGACCGATGTAATCGTAAGATATTCACGGGAAGTATCTCGTATGTACGCGCCATTTATAAGCGTTCGCATCCGTTTAAGTGGTGAACGAGTGTGTTGTCGCGTGTATGTAAGCGTCGCAATGCATTTCTCTCCGGTCGAAGAATGTCGACCTTTTGCCACCCTGATTTATTCGATTACGTGATTTTGTACAATGAGTTTGGAACTGCCGAGTCTGGCCGGGACACCCGGTATATTTACATAGGGTTTTGTCACGATGCAGGGCACGACGCTGTTCGAAGCGTTGGACGAGCACCTGTACGACTACGGTAACCTGTCAAGCTGGAAGGGCAAGAAAGGGTCACCTAACAAAAGCTCTTACCGTCGGATTTTTCTTTACCT